AGGGACTGTATTTACTCCTTAGCAAGCAGATGAAGGCTTCATCGGGGCCTAGGCCTGGTGAAGAGGTGGGTGAAATAGACTGATGGATGACAGTAGGCAGTCACAGTGAGAAATTTCCAAGCCTGCACAAATGGGTGGGTAGTGGGGAGACAGAGTTAGGACTAGAAAAAAAATCAGGGGCAGAAGAAAGTGTCATTGGATGGATTCAGTGGCTGGAACCTGTGAATCACCCCAACCACTTGGAATGGGGGTGGCTTTTCACTTTATTTTTCATTCCATTGAGCTCCTATCTCCTTGTTATCTTGAGTCTGGGAGAGGATAAAGCAGACCAGACCATGTGATCTCAATAAACATCTATCTGAGGCAGAAGGATGAGGGGATGTGGGGGAAATGTGAGCCTATGTTCAGATGGGTGCTTGTGTATTTGAAGAGGAGAGGGAGGAGACTGTGTAATTCCTCAGAGCAGGTGGCTAAGGGGGGTGGTCTCCAGAAACCTTTACAGTCCAGACGACAAAGGGAGAGGCAGAAGGGCACTGTGTGTGTGTGTGTGTGTGTGTGTGTGTGTGTGTGTGTGTGTGTGAAGGCGGGGGTGGGGGGGAGGAAAGCATAGGGAGTGTGTGGGGGAAGAGCATAAGAGTGTGTGGGGGGGAGCATAGGGAGTGTGTGCACAGTGTGTGTGCACGTGTGTGTTGGTGTGCACCCCAGTGTGTTTGTGCTCACTTTTCCTGTATGTGTCAAGAAATGCATCAGGCCGAAACCGGTTTGGCTCAGCGGTAGAGCGTCGGTCTGCAGACTGAAAGGTCCCAGGTTCGAATCCGGTCAAGGGCATGTACATTGGTTGTGGGACATCCCCGGCAAGGGGTGTGCAAGAGGCAGCTGGTCGATGTTTCTCTCTTATCGTTTCTAGTTCTCAATCCCTCTCCCTTCCTCTCTGTAAAAAATCAATAAAATATATTAAAAAAAGAAGAAGAAGAAGAAGAAGAAGAAGAAGAAGAAGAAGAAGAAGAAGAAGAAGAAGAAGAAGAAAGAAATGCATCAGAATCCGCACAAGTGGGTGCTTATGTGGGTCCCTAAGGGCAAGAGGCGGTGGGGCGCAGCCCTAGAGCACCTAGGGTTTACATTTCTGTTAATTTGGGGACAGTCCTCATTGTACAGAGCGGCTCACCATGATTTGGGGGCACCCTTCAGCATCCCTGCGGGCAATGGGGGAGCATCATGTGGTTCATTTTCCTTTTGCAATCAATACTGGGCCCAGGGTCCACAACTCAGAACCAAGCTGTGTGTGTGTGCGTGTGCGTGTGCGTGTGCGTGTGCGTGTGTGTGTGTGTCTGGAGAGAGCCGGACTGCACAAAGATTTCCTCTCCAGAAGAAAGCCTCGGGTTCATCCGAGCCCCAGACTCCAGCGGAGCAAACAGCTCACGGAGCCTGAGAGCGGAGGGCCCGGCGCAGAGGCAGGGCTTGCAGGCTCCTCCGAAAGGGCAGACGCCAGGCCTGCTGGCGTCGCCCCCACACCCGCCTGGGCCCCCCACATCAGGGCCGGCTAAACATGAGGAGGCTCCTGTCTCCAGGGCTGGAAGAGAGGCGCCCTCGTTAAAACTCAGATAAACAGTTTATCAGGAGATGAATGAGCCACCAGGCTCCAGAGTCGGCTCCCCTTCCCCAGTGTGGAGCCGGGCGGGGAGGGGGCCACGGGCGGAGCGAGCGGGAGCCAGGCTGGGGAAGAAACAGGGCTGGGCTGCTGGGCTGCTGGGCTGCGGGGCTGGAACCAGTGCCTTTCCTCCTTTTGGCCTTTAGCTCTGTCTCTGTTCTTGGAGCTGCGTTTCACATTTCTTTCCCCATTTCCCCACCCCAGCCTAAGGTTGGGAGTTACCGGCCTCCCCTCTCCCTTCTTTCTCTCCTCTTTTCTGCACCCCGCACCCCTCAAATGCCTATGCTAGTCAGAACTTCACTGTTTTAACTAGAATCCCATCACCAACAGGACACACACACAATTGGAACATATTGTGAAGCTGACCCAGCCGGTGTTCCCCTGGTCCCCAGCAGGCCATGGGGCATCCATCACCCTCTGTCTGGCCTAAGAAGTCCCCTCCACCCCCTCATCCTTCCACCAGTCAGGAGAGGAAAGTGGTGAGCCTTGTGGCTGACTTTTCCTCACTCTGCCAAGTTGGGTCAGATTCAAAACGTGCTACTTTGGGTCTCCGTGAGAAAAAAAAAAAAAACATCCGATTCAACTTTGAAGAAACCTGAGAGACAGTCAGAATCAGAGGGTGGTGGTTTTCATGTGCCTGAGGTGATGCCAGGCCTAAAGGATGGCAGCTATCCTGTCTTCTCTGTGTCGGGGGAGCACCAGAGAGGTAAGGTGACTTGCCCAAGGTCATACAGCGGTAGGTTGCAGGTTTTCCAACGTCCAGACTCATGTCCTCTGTACATCACCCAGGCTGCCTCAAGTTTATATTTCCAGAACAGAACAAAAGGGAAAAAAAAGGGAGAGTGTGTGTTGAATTGCTCTTAGAATCAGCATAAACGCATCCTGGGTCCTCTTGCCTTGACCTAGAGTTGCCGAAGCAGTTGTTCAGAGGAGTGTTTCCATGTCCCTTGCCCAGAGCATTTACAGGCAGAGGGACACAAATCCTGGGATAAGGACACTCACCTGGTTCACTAGACTCTTCCTACACAGGCTGCCAAGGCCCAAGCCCCTAACCCATCTCCCCTAAAGTCCAAACAGCCCCCCACAGCAAGGGCCTGATCCGAAAGCTGAGCTGATAGCCATCCTTCCCTTGGTCCATCTCCCACCCCACAGCTCCCTTTTGAAGAAATACAGCCCTCTTTGTCCTGCTTGTCAAGCTCCCTCTTCAATGGAGCCGCAGAAGCATTGAAATGGGTAGGCTGTTGAGTCCCCCCAAGAAATGCCAATGCCCCTCCCCCAAACCCGAGGGCCCGCAGAGGTGGGGAACAGTTCAGCTGCCTATGCAGAGTGGACAGAAAGCAGGCCCGGAGGTGTGGTAGTTGATTTCAACAGCACCCCAGCCCCTCCAGGCCTCTGTGGCCTGGACCTGAGACGGTGGTTGGCCTGGCGAGGGCAGTGAGGTCCCCTGAAGAACAGTTGCTGAAAGACTGCTGCCCACTCTACCCTCTGCTTTGGGTGCTGTGCTGTGCTGTGCTGAGCTAAACATGCCCTCCCTCCCCTTTACAGAGCACCGTTCTGAGAGGTGTGTGCCAACCCCTTCGGACAGATGAGGAAATGGGACATTGGGGTTAAGATGCTGCTGGGAAGTGACGGGGCCAACACTCCCACTGAGAGTCACGGGACCCAGACATGGTCTTTGTGTTGAATTTCCCTGATTGTGGTATTTCCTCCTCCATCCAGATCTTCTGTATCCAGATCCTTGTATCCTTGATACAGTGCTCCCATCTGTTACTCCGGGGTCGGGGAGGAAAGGGTGCCTGCTCCTTACCCTCATCCTCCTCCTTGCCTGGGACCTGCATTCTGAGCGGCTGAGTTGCACGCAGACTCAAATTGTTCATCTCCTACTCTCCCTACGCAGGTACATCTACCCTTTTTCTTCATGAGGCCCAGCTGAAGCTCAGCTCTACCATTAGTATTACTATTCGTATTAGTAATGTTAGTATTACTTTGTCTCTGCGAACAGCATCCCCCAATTCACCCAGTACCTAAGTATAATGGGTATAGATAGAGTGGGGGGACCGACAGTAAGCTCCCCAAAGTGGGCCATTTCAGAACCCCACAGTGAAGAAGGGTAAGTGCAGTATGAAAATGGTATAGCTTTTATAATGTCTTGACTTTGGGAGGGTCATCATAATATATGATCAAATTTCCAACAGCATTCGGAGCATAGCATGGCACTGTAATATTTCTCAAAAGTGGGCATGGGTTCTTCAAAGGTTGCGAAACACTAGTCTCCACTGTTAAGAGAATAGACTTTTTTCCTGGCACTTTTTTAATGTTTTCTTCGTGTGCTTGTCATATCCCCCCTAACTAGACTACATCAGTCATGGGAGGGTGGTGATCGACAGCGAGTCCTTTCTTCGTGTTTTTCTCCCTAGTCTTCACCCCATGGACATTCTATAAACAGGTTACCCAAACTTTTGTCTAACATGGTTTGTTTTTCATCCCTCAAGGGGGGCTTTTTTATTCTGTTCAGTCAAATCTAGCCAACCTAAATAAAGGGCTGAAGGATCTGGGTTGGTTTTCAAACAAGAACGGGTGATTTGCAGTAGGAGGGAGAGAGAGGAGACTGATGGACCAGAGACCAGCACAATAAAACATCCCTAATTGGAACCTACCATCTCGGGAGGGCTGGGCTAGACGTTAGCCTTTGAACTCGTTACTGAAAAATTATTTTCTTTAGTGAATTCACGGCAGTGACAAAATTGCTCTGGAACATTTAATCTTCCTAAGAAAACAAACCAGCGCCAGTCCCCTAAAGCACATCAAAAAAAGAAAGGAGCATTGTGTAAGCGCCTACTATGCTCCCAGATGCAATCACACGTTATTTCAGAATCCACTCAATTCAAACAACCAATGAGGTGTTCATATTTCCATCAAAGCAAGATTTCCTTGTAAGGCAGTACCTTCATAGTCTAGTTCTAGATAGTGTCTAGACTTGAACGTTTAAGAGAATGTTTTCAGCTGAAACTGGCCAAACCTCCCAACTGCTGAAGTTTTGCAGAAAGACTGTGAAACAATGTGTTTTCTTTTGTAGACGGATGACAAACTTCTGGAGGTGCGTGTAGGACAGCACAAGTTGAGAGGAAAAACGAGATCCTTGGGGAAAGAGAGGAGAGTGTTTTGCACTGTTCCAAGGAGACCACCTAACTCCACTCCATGGAATACTGGTGAACACTTGAGTCATTCACTCCTAATCTCTCTTCTCCAGCTTTTTTCCAGACTCCAATCACATCCACCACAAAGGAAAAATGAATTTGAGTTTTGAAGCTTGGGTTCTGTTCTTCATCCAAGGGAAAATTAACCAGAAGTGTCACTTCCGTATCCGTCTCCCATGAGAGAAACTGCTTCTAGAAGGGAAAGCATCAGGAGGGTTTATTTAGAATCACAGAAAGGCGGGACGATAAGAGTAATGTAGTTGTCACTAATGCAAACAGTAAGGGATGTGATGCCACAAAAGTGACTTGTCTAAGGTCCACATACTCCTATCAGGCTGGAGCCTCGCCAGGACTCAGGTCCCCTTACTACCAGTTCGCCTTTGAAGTTTCTCATCTGCACTCTTGCCCATTGATGCCCATGTAGCGCAGTACTATTCTTGTGGCATTTGAGGGACCCCGGGGGGAGCAATCTCAGGGGGGTTTGTTTACACTGAGGTCCTGGCGAGCTATGAGAGAACAGCAGGCACCAGGATAGACACGCAAGCACTGACAAGGGCACAGAGCTGATCAGATGGGTAGCCCTCAAACCCACCTCGCAGGGCCACCCCCCCCTCACACCCTTCCCACCCCCGCCTGCGCCAGATGCAGGACTTGCCCCTTGCCAGCAGAGGGCGCGCCGCCCCCGGGGAGCCGAGCGGCGGCCGCGCTGAGCCCAGCGTGTTCGGGGAGCTGCAGGCAAGCCAGTCGCGCCCCTACAGTTCGGCCACTCAGGGAGCAGAACCCGGCCAGGGAGGAGGAGGAGGAGGAGGAGGAGGAGGAGGAGGAGGAGGAGGGTGGGGAGCGGACCCCCATCGTGGGCCTGGGCAACGAAAGGGCAGGAGTGCTTCCTAGGAATTGCATCACGCTGCGCAACACTGCGCTCCCTGACTCCCCCAGAGCAAAATGTGTGTGTGAGGGGGAGGGCGAGGGCGGGGTGGTGGTGGTGGTGGTGGTGGTAGTGGTGTGTGCGTGTGTATATGTGTGTGTATGTGCGTGCGTGCGTGCGCGCGTGCTTGCGCTCGTGTGTGTGTGTGTGTGTGTGTGTGTGTGTGTGTGTGTGTGCTGGGGGAGGGGAGTTAGAAGGAGCCCGGGAGAGAGGAAAAGCGAGACGCGCCCGGGTATAAAGCTCCGGGCACATGGAGAGATCCTTTGCACCGAACTGCACCGAGACGCGAGCCCCCAGCACCACCCAGCCCTCCGCAGAGCGCCCGGCTAGTGCGAACCCTCCGAGTGGACCCCATAACACCGGCCCTGCACCCTCCAGCCCCGCTCCAGCAGCGGCCGTGAGCTTTTCCTAGGACTGGCCCTGGCGGGGCGCCTAGAGCCCCAGTTGCATTGCTCCAGGAGAAAGGAGGGGGGCGGTGCATTTGCAGGAGGAGGAGAAGGGGGGTGGGTGGTGGGGGAGAGAGAAAATTGCGCGGAGACCTGCCAAGCGCCGCCGCCGCCGCCGCCGCCGCCGCCGTCGCCGCCGCCGCCGCCGCCGCCGCCGTCGCCGCCGCCGCCGCCGCCGCCGCCGCCGCCGCCGCCTGTGAGCTCGGGCGGGCGGGCAGCCGGCCTGTCGGCTTCCCGGGACATCTCGGTCCAGCGGGGCACAGCCCTGGGCGCTGCCGTAGCCGCCGCCGACGCGAGTGCAGGCGGCTTCCCCGGGAGCCTGTGCCGCTCCGGCTCCTCGGCGGGGGTGGAGGAGTGGGGGGTGGGGTTGTTGTTGGGGGGGGAGCAGGGGGAGGGGGCAACGCCGAGAGAGTCCGTGGTTTCCATGGTGATGGAGCTGAAAGTGCAGGAAATTTAAAGGCTTGGACCCAGCGAGACAGACAAACCGGTGCCAACGTGCGCGGACGCCGCCGCCGCCGCCGCCGCTGGAGTCCGCCGGGCAGAGCCGGCCGCGGAGCCCGGAGCAGCCGGAGGGACGTGCCCCCAGGACCCGCTCGGCCAGCGGCGCCGCACCGAGCAGCAGCGGAGCGAGGGGCAGCGAGAGGAGGAGGAGGAGGAGGAGAAGGAGGAGGAGGAGGAGGGGAGAGCGGCTCGTCCACGCGCCCAGCGCCGCCGCCGCCGCCGCCGGCTCGGGGAAGCAGCAGCGAGGAGCCGGCGCCCCTGCGCCCGCGGTCGCCCTGGAGGGATTTCGGATGCCCCGCCGCGGCCGCCGGCCCGAATAGACCCGCCGGGAGAGGAGTTGCTGCGGCGGCCAACTTGTGTGCCTTCTTCCCGCCCGGGCGGGAGCTGCCGGCGCCGCGCGAAGGGCTCTCCCGGCGCCTCATGCTGCCGGCCCTGCGCCTGCCCAGCTTCGGGTGAGCGGCGGCCGGAGGGCCGGGGAGCGCGGCGCCGCCTCCGCCGCGGGCTCGGCGTGCTCTCCTCCGGGGACGCGGAACGCAGCGGCGGCCGCCCCGGCGGCATGGAGCGCTGCCCCAGCCTGGGGGTCACCCTCTACGCCCTGGTGGTGGTCCTGGGGCTGCGGGCGGCCCCGGCCGGCGGCCAGCACTATCTGCACATCCGCCCGGCGCCCAGCGACAACCTGCCCCTGGTGGACCTCATCGAGCACCCGGACCCTATCTTTGACCCCAAGGAGAAGGATCTGAACGAGACGCTGCTGCGCTCGCTGCTCGGGGGCCACTACGATCCGGGCTTCATGGCCACCTCGCCCCCCGAGGACCGGCCCGGCGGCGGGGGCGGGGGCGGCGGGGGATCGTCGGCCGGGAGCGCCGAGGACCTGGCCGAGCTGGACCAGCTGCTGAGGCAGCGGCCGTCGGGGGCCATGCCGAGCGAGATCAAAGGGCTGGAGTTCTCCGAGGGCTTGGCCCCGGGCAAGAAGCAGCGCCTGAGCAAGAAGCTGCGGAGGAAGCTGCAGATGTGGCTGTGGTCGCAGACCTTCTGCCCGGTGCTGTACGCCTGGAACGACCTGGGCAGCCGCTTCTGGCCGCGCTACGTGAAGGTGGGCAGCTGCTTCAGCAAGCGCTCGTGCTCCGTGCCCGAGGGCATGGTGTGCAAGCCGGCCAAGTCCGTGCACCTCACGGTGCTGCGGTGGCGCTGTCAGCGGCGCGGGGGCCAGCGCTGCGGCTGGATCCCCATCCAGTACCCCATCATCTCTGAGTGCAAGTGCTCGTGCTAGAACTCGGGGTGGGGGCCCCCAGCCCGCACCCGGACACTTGATCGATCCCCACCGACGCCCCCCTTTCTCCCCCCCTCCCCCTTCCGCACCGTTACAACCAGTTCCACCACCACCACCCTCTCCGGAGGGAGATTCAATGAACTTTTTTTTTTTTTTTTTTTTTTTGGCTACAGAGACCTAGCTTTCTGGTTCATGTAATGCACTGTTTAACTGTGTAGGAATGTATATCTGTGTGTATATATACGGTCCCAGTTTTAATTTACTTATTAAAAGGTCAGTATTATACGTTCAAAAGTTACCGGCTTCTACTGTATTTTTAAAAAAAATAATTAAGCAAAAGGAGAAAAAAAAAAAAGAACAGAGAGAAAAGAGAGAGACTTATTCTGGTTGTTGCTAATAATGTTAACCTGCTATTTATATTCCAGGGCCCTTCGCATGGCGAAGCAGGGAGGGGGGGAAAGTTATTTTTTTTTTTTCTTAAAGTACAAAGAGAGGGGAGAACTTTTGTAGAAGGACTTTGAAAAAAAGCTATTTTCCATTCTTCGGAAAGTGTTTTTGGTTTTCCTTGGACCTCGGAGAAGCTATAGAGTTCAATGTTATTTTACAGTTATTGTAAATATAGAGAACAAATGGAATGACTAATCATTGTAAATTAAGAGTATCTGCTATTTATTCTTTATAATATCCCGTGTAGTAAAATGAGAAAGAAGTGCAGAGCAGGATTAAAGAAAACCACTAAAATCGACTGGCTCCACACTGCGATTCTCTGTGTTGGTGATTGATGGGAGGGTGGGGGGTAACGGGGGGCGGGGGGGGGGGGCGGCGGGCAGGGGATGCTGCTGTGCTTATGATGCCTGTGAGGGGAACGGGGCTCATTCCCTCTCTGGGTGTGATGGAGGTGACCACTCAATTTTTCATGGGGGGGGGGGGTGTTCCCGGCCCCTCACTAGAGCATCACGTGGCCTCCGCCCAGTCTCCCAGCTTTTTCTCCCTGTATCACCGAAGCCTGGGCCTGTCGTGACCTCAACACCCAGCCGGCCCCCTGGAGCTGACCCCAGGCTGGGCCGGGGGAGGGGGGAGGGTGGGCGGCCGCTTTGTCCTGCCTGACAGGCCCTTCACAATGGGGACACGTGTCTTTCACACCTACCCTAGGGGCGGAGTGCCGCTGAAACTTGACCCCCGAGGAATGGGGGGGAGAGATCAGAGCGCGCCCACCCAGATCCCACCACCCGTCCTGCCTCGCGCACACACCCCCCCCCCACCTCAATATTCAGCCCAGGTTAACCCTTTGCACGCCCGGAAATTACGATGGTAATTCCAAGATGAGGAATCCACACTCACAGCCTCCTCCTCCTCCCCACCCCACCCCCAAAATCCCAGGCCCTCAGCCTTAATGTCTGGGAGATTTGACACTACCCCCCGCCCCCCCCCCCCCCGCAGGACCTAAGGAAGACTCAGGGTATCGGAAGGTCCCAATTGGATTGGGGGGGGAAAGCCATCACTAGGTCCTGCCATGGGGAACGGGGTGCACCCTCCCCCCCCTCCCAGCACCCCAGCTCTGGATGCTGACTCCACTTGGAGGGTGGGGAGGGAGGAGAGATCAGAACCCAGGTCTTTGAGCTTCTGGGTTAGATTGGGGCAAAAGACGTGTTACCTCTTAAAGGAACCTGCAGAGCATCCCCCCCCCGCACCCCCACCACCACCCCCTCCCTAAAGGAAGCCAACTCCTGGGGCGGGCGCTCGACTGCGCGCATCCCTCCGCCTGAGTCCGCTGCGGCGCCCATCCGCGCGGCTCCACGTGGGCCTGACACCGCTGGGGCTCCCAGTATTTATCTTGGACTCCAAAGTGGCTCTCCTTTGCTACCTCTCTCCCCTCTCCCCCCCCCCCCCCGCCTTCTTTCCCCCCTCCCTCCCACCTCGGAGTCCCAGCGAAGCTGCGCTAATTATTTCAGACCTGCGCCCCAGCGCGGCTTCTGTGCCCCCGCCCCGCCCGCCCGCCCGGTCCCCGCAGCCCTGGCGCTTTCTTCCCTCCCGAGGCAGCCTCGGCGGCTCCTCATTTCAATAGCCTGGCCCGCGAGCCGCAGCCCCCTCCCCGGCGGCGCTGCCTCCGTCCTGAGCCGCGGGACAGACGTGAGGGTATTCATTAACCGGGAGCCGGGGAATAACGGCATTATTCCCCCCGGAGAGGGCACCCTGCCCCCGCCGCTATCTGAGGCTTCATTGTAAAAGGATTAAAAGTTAAAGACCTCCATCTTATGATTCTTTCATTTAATCTTCCTGGCGCCTGGGAGACATGCTCGATGGATGATGGCTTTTAAAATATTCCCAATGTCGGCTACCTTAAGACTCCGAGCCGGGGCAAACAAACGTAATTTATTTCCAGAAGAAAGGGGATATTGAGATGTTTAAGTTTACGAACCAGCCGTCCCCCCTCCATGTATATTTGTGAAGGCCTGACAAATACCCAAATAACGTTTAAAAAAAAATCAGCCATTCATCACTTATGAATTTATGCAAAACTTTCTGTGCCCCGGGCCAATATTTTTTTAGACAAGAGTTTCACTTTTGCGAGAGGTGGAGGTGGAGGTGATGGTGGGGAGCGGGGAGGGGAGAGGAGGGGGTTTGGCGTGGGGGGTGTTTGGGGGGGGGGCCGAAAAGCAAGAATTTTCATGCCTGGTAAACACGCGAATTATGCGAAGAGAGTTATTCCCAGCTGGGCGGGCAGCCAAAACTCCGAGAGCGCGCCCAGGCCAGCGCCCCCGCCCCCACGTTGGCAATGTCATTGGATTACAATGCGAGGTCTTCCCCCTCCGCGACGCCCCCTCCCTCCGCCCTCGCCCTCCCGCCCCTCCTCCCCACCCCTGCCCACTTGGAAAACCCGCTTGTTCGCAGCCGGCCAGCTTCTCGGCTTTCAGATCAGGAGCCGGTGTGAGCTAGGAGGACCCGGCTGGCTGCAGAGGTGACCCTGCCATAGACAGACCACTGGACAGACAGACTCCAAGGCCAGCGAGGGAGCGGAGCCACTCCAGACTGTGGAGAGGGGGGGTGGGGGGATCCAGCCGGACCCGGGCGGTCCGGGGAGAGAGCCCAGGAGGTGCTGGTTCCCCCAACACTGTGACTAATGCACAGCCGGTTCCGTCTCTATCATTATTAATGTTGATAATACTAATAATAGCATCCACACGGAAAGGAGTGGAGAGCTCTGGGCAGAGAGGCAAGAACACTGTCCTTTGCGGTCACCTAGTGCCTATCTCCTCCTGTGAGGAGGAGGAAAACGGATCTTGGTGTCTTCTGAGGCTTTGACAGCCTGTGTCCATGAATGTCTGCAGCTGCGGGGACCCTGCCTCCTTGGGATGGAGATTTATAACTCTTTCCTGGTGCAGACACATCCGCTTGTTTAAAATCCTGGAGGAGAGTAGCAAGGTGCCCACCTTCCCCGCCCTCCAGCCCTGATTGCAAGAATTCACTCATCAACCCTTTGCTTGTGGCTCTTCCTTTTGTTCCTTCCTTCTGCTCTTCCCACAGGCCCCACACTTCATGCACAAGCATACTGAGGCCAAATGTCCACGGAGAGCCAGCCCCCAGGGGGAGGGGAGTCTGGGAATGGGATCTGGTTGCCTGTTGAGATGGAGAAGGCCAGGGGTCCATTATCAGTCTTGCTGGTGAGACTCCTGGGAAAGAGGGTTGAAGTTTGGTGGCAGCTGCAGGAGGGGGCTGGCCCTGTATTAAGAGCTCTTAGCGGGCGGGGATGGGGACAGCAGGGGGAGGGCCCAGCCCATATTGGTATTTTGAAGGAGTGATTCATCCTTTTTCTTTAATGCTCTTGGAATGCCAGAGCTGGAAGGGGAGCTTAGATTCCAATGCCCACCCCTCCATTTACAGATGAGAAGACTGAGGCCTCAGGAGGGATTTGCTGAAGATCCCGCTGATTAATGTGGCTGTGGTTCTCTGAGGGGTCTCCGTTGTGCCTCTGCACGGCTCGCTTTTTCTGTATTCTTTTGTTTATCTTGGTATCGTTACTATTATTATTTTGGCCAGGGAGAGTTCTTTCCATAATTGACATAATGACCACTGATCATCAGGGGAGTTGATCAACTCTTCTGCTATCTCTGGTCACAAGCCAGCTCTTAAGGGTGTTCTGGTCTGCCAAGCGCTGAGGTAGGCCCTTTACACCCATCCTCATCCAAGGTTTCTAAGTTTCCAAAGAAGGAGCTGAAGCTCAGAGACAGTAAGCACCTTACCCAACGCCACACAGTAAGTGATAGAGTTATCATTCAAAATTGGAGCCGATGCTACCACCTCTGCTTTTTCTGTAGACACACACATAAGGAGTTTATAATGCAATGGAGGAGGTAAGAAATGAAGAGCAGGGTAAGTGACGAAAGAGGAGATAAACAAACCTGGGCCATATGGGGAGGGCTCACTGCTGACTGGGCAGCCAGGAAAGGCATCAAAGTCGCAAAGAACAAGTTGAATGTCAGCCTACTGTGGCGGGGATGTGAGAGGAAAGGGCCGAAAGAGGGAAGAAACAGAAGAGGTAAAGAATATGGATCCTTGGGAAACAGCTCAAGCAAACCTGAACATAGGATGGACCCAGGCCTACTAGATAACAAGAACAATGCTCAAAAACCATGGGATAAAGAAGTAATTCCTTGGCAGTAGTGCTCAAATGGTGTTCCTGCCCTCTTTAAGAGCTCTCAATGGCTCCCTATTGCCTGAAATATGGTGCCATTAGTTGGCTTCGGTAATTTGGCTTCAGCCTGCTTTTCAGATCTTACCTCCTGCTTTCACTTAGCTTGGGTCCATCCTATGTTAAAGTGTTTTTCTCATTTATCTTTATTGTTGAAAGCATTACAGATGTCCTCTTTCCCCCCCCCCATTGACCCCTTTCACACCATACCTACCCCCCAGGACCTATGACATTGCCTCAAAAGCCCCACAATATGTCTCTATTTCAGTCTATTGGGTAAGCCAGTATCTACGACCAGTCCAAACTCAAG